GCTTCAGCAGCTTCTTCGGAATATTGGCCGATTGGAAGCAAAAAATGTTGCATTACCTTTCCTCCATGCAAGAGTACTTTATGGACTGATACAGGCATGAAGAACCAAGGGTAAAGTCTAACATACAATTCTGCAGTCTCGAAGACAAACTTATCAAAAAAGTCTATTGGTACTACTTGCTAATATTTTTAAAATTTGGCCGAATCTTTTGATAAGTTCTATTATATATTGACTCCTGTTATTTCAGAGGTTAAATCAGGATCTGAAAAAAATCTTCGGACAGTATTTCCGTTGTTGGTGTTTCCAGTTCCTTGATTTGGTTTGTCTATTAGTAAACCTAGCTTTTCCCTAAATTCTGTGCAAATCCTTTCTTTAGCTGTATTTTTCATTCGCTTTTGTTCGTCAGTCATTACAGATCGTTTACAAAAATCTAAGCGATAGCCAATGTGTAAAATACACTCTATGAATCTTATCCACGCATGTAGCGTCGAGAGACCGAATTCAAAATGGGAAGTATTGTCCTTTTTTTCTTTAATACGTTCAAGATGATTCATTTCACTAGGCTTAGCGCCACAAATGTAACAACTCGCGGATGACAAAGTATCAGACAGTGCTTGACAGACTTTACCATCTACCATAGTCAAATGCATGTCTACGTGAATTATGTACGTGATATCAGAAATAGTTAATTTTGTTGGCTGCAATTTCTCTATTTGATCTTTAATTAGTCGAATTTCCTGCTTTGTTCTCTCCTTTGTTTCCTTGGCAAATATAAAAATAACTGGTATGCAACGTCTAGGTGATGCAGGATGAGGATTGCACAATTGTAGACTTATTACGTTCTTTCAAACAAAGTGGTACCATGGAGACAGTGAAAACAGTTTCGTCCGTGAAATTTACGCCCGGAATCTTTTGATTATATCGTCCTTGATCAGATGCTCCATCACAACCATATTTGATAATAAAATCTAGGTTACAGATTTTCTCATTGTCATCAATGTCAGGAAAATTTAAATTGGGATCTTAAAAAGTCGCAGTACTGTGTGATCAATCAGAGATTGAAGATTTATACGCGCTTCTATTTCTGACGTTAGTATCTGTTTAGGATAGCTCGTTTTTTGCTTCTAATATTTTCGAATACGAAGGATAAATATTAGCATTTCTTTCTTTAGCTTGCGTTCGAATAATTGTATATTGATACTTAGATAGTTTAACGTCTTCTATCAAAGCTAAAGCTTCTTCCGCAGAATACGGAGTGTATGACTGTTCATCACAATTTTTTGAAATATTAGACTCTTCGTC